CATTCCGGATGAGATTGTACTCCTCCACCACGCAGTCTACGGAGACCAGAAGGGAGGTCTTTCACTTCTCTTTGGCTCCCAGGATGACAGTGGTATCATCCATATCACCCTGTGGAGAGGTCGCCACAGCACTGTCCGCGGCCGACACCATCTCCCAATTCTGTAAGGACCGCATTTAGTTTCTTGGCCAAAATTGCGCCCACCCCAGGAGTCTGTTGCATGGGTTGCTTCTTTCCCACCGGAGTAGCAGGTGCCTTCTGGGGGGATGGCATCCCAAATGAGGCAGGCGGATAGCAGAAGGCAGTGTGGTGGTCAGCTGGGGAAAACCGGCCACTGAGCCCGATGCAGTCCTTAGGATGGGTCAGGATAACGGGAGCTTCTTAGATTTGCATCCACTCTGTGCTACATCCGGTCATGCCCCCTTAAAAGAGGAATATTAAAATTCCAGGCATTAATGTTTTTACATAGCAAGAGCTTGTACCACTGCAGCTATATATGACATCTTGGCATCTCCACTAGCTTCTGAGCTTTCCCATAGGAGGTTGCCAGCTAGGCACTAGCACTATTTAGACATCGCTTTTCATTTTTTTTGATTAATGCAAAATGTTCTCTGATTGGAAGAGGTGGGACAATGACATCGCATTCATCTAATCAGTGAATGCTTTTCATTCATTAGCAAAAATGCAAAACATTCTCTGAATGGCTCCCATGCCAAGCAAGCAACCCCCTGTGTTCAGTAAGCAGTAGGGCCGTATTGATGTGCCATCCTGGAGGAGTTGGACTGCCTGTGCAATCTCTGTAGGGTCCAGGTATTGTCTCATGCTACCAGTAGTGACACTGACCCTAGCCCAATGCAAAACTAGTGAAAAACAGAGAGAAAAGATGAGTAGGGAAAAAATGTCAGTGGCCGCCACCTGTAAAACCATTCCTGTTTTGGGGGTTGTCTCATTGTTGCTCATCTAGTGCACCTATTGTTAATTTCATTAACACCAAAGCAGCTGAAACTGATTAACAACCTCCTCTGCTACTTAACTGACCAGGTCAATATCCCAGGAGTTTAACTGACTATACTCTGAATAAAAAGTGTTCCTTTAATTTTTTGAATAGTGTATATGATGACAATATATAGTAAAGAAGACTGTCAAAGTCCAACATATCCAAAATGCTTCGCTCAGTGGCTGCTGCTTAATGAGAGAGCTAGAAGGAACTCTGTAGGGAGGTAAATGCAGGGAGAAGCAGCAGCTACTAAGTGCAGTATAAAAGTAACATGTTTATTAACCTCTTGCCGACCGCGCATAGCCGAATGACGGCTTCACCGCGGCCGGCCAGTTCTGAGTGGACGTCATATGACGTCCTCCCAGAACGCGCTCTCCTGCGCACCCCAGGGGGCGCGCACCCGGCGATCTCCGTGATCGCTGTGTCCTACGGACACAGCTGATCACGAGATGTGGTAAAAGGCCGATCATACCGGCCTTTTACCACGTGATCAGCGGTGTCCAATGACACGCTGATCACAGGGAAATGCAAGTGCCGGTTCTCGGCTGCACTTTCCTCACGCTGTCAGATCGTGAGGAAAGTACTGCCGAGAACCGGCAGTTGTCAGAGCGGGGATCGGCACCGATCATCAGGGCACTGATGATCAGTGCCCTGATGATCGGTGCCCAGCAGTGACACCCGCAAGTTCCGCCCAGCAGTGCGCCCACTAGCTCCGCCCACCCGTGCCCAGCAGTGCCCCCACCTGTGCCCAGCAGTGCCCCCACCTGTGCCCAGCAGTGCACCCACCTGTGCCACTCTGCAGTGCCACCTACCTGTGCCCAGAAGTGCCACCTACATGTGCCCAGCAGTGCCACCCACCTGTGCCCACCCACCTGTGCCCACCAGTGCCACCCACCTGTGCCCACCAGTGTCACCCACCTGTTCCCACCCACCAGTGCTGCCCACCAGTGCCACTCACCAGTGCAGCCCAGCAGTGCTGCCAGTCAGTGCCACCAGTCAGTGCCCAGGGGTTGTGCCAGTCAGTGCCACCAGTCAGTGCCCAGCAGTGATGCCAGTCAGTGCCGTCTATCAGTACCCATCATCAGTGTCGCCTATCAGTGCCGCCTATCAGTGCTGCATATCAGTGCCGCCTATCCGTGACCCCTAATTAGTGCTGTCTATCAGTGCCGCCTATCCGTGCCACCTCATTAGTACTGCCTATCAGTGCCCTTTAGTGCTGCCTATCAGTGCCCATCAGTGCCGCCTATCAGTGCCAGCCCATCAGTGCTGCCTCATCAACGCACATCAGTGAAGGAGAAAAAATACCTGTTTGAAAAATTTTATAAAAGAAACAAATAAACTTTTTTTTTTTTCAAATTTTTTGCACTTTTTTTTATTTATAGCGCAAAAAGTAAAGCGCCCAGTGGCGATTAAATACCACCAAAAGAAAGCTCTATTGGTGAGAAAAAAATGATCAAAATTTCATATGGGTACAATGTTGCATGACCGCGCAATTGTCAAAGTGCGGCAGCGCTGAAAGCTGAAAATTGGCCTGGTAAGGAAGGGGGTATAAGTGCCTGGTAGGCAAGTGGTTAAGCAGCAAAACGGCAACTCACAATGATATGAAGAAAAGAGCACTCTAGACAACACCACAGTAATAGAGTGGTCTGCTCCTGTAGAGCCCTCAGTGGTAGGTGGGGAGTCACACAGCAGAAACAAAAGAATGTTAAATCACTTCCACTTTCAACGCAAAACATGCTGTCATTTTCACACCCGCAAATCATGTAGTGTTTGCATTTTCTTGTGCAACCCCTGTATTTATAATATTTCAGCATTGGGATTACATCTACAATAATGATCACGATGCAGAGCAAAACATAAAGTGTTATCATGCCTACTGCAGTGAGGTGTTCTTGGATACACAATAGGGAGCTTCCTATGTGGTCTCTGCACTCACAGACCCAATCACAAACACCAACCAGAACGCATTATGCGGATAAACAGCTGCATCCAAAGAAACTCAACTTGATGTCTACTACAGTTCTCAGAACATCCAGGACAGTCTACATTCATCTCTGTGATAAATCCTGTACACAATGACACACAGCAGAAATGAGTAAAGTAGGCATCAAGCTGCATCATACCACAATTTCTGATTATAGTGATATGTACTAGCTGTAAAAGACAGTAGGGACTAATTCACACTGCCACACTACAGCCAAACTGCAGCGCAGGTGCAGTGCAGTGTACCCACAGTTTTTATGTGGGTTACCTGCGCTTTCCCATAGACTTCCATTAGACTGAACGTTTTCAATGTGTTTTCCTGAAATCTCATCAAAGATGCAGCTTGCTTATTGCCGCATTCTACTCTGCAGCCAAAAAGCAACACAGCAATGTGAAAGTGCCCTAATATCGGGATTTGAGGTCCCAATCAGTCTCAAGAACCCATATGCAGACTCACCTCTAAATATTTAATATTTATCTGAAACTATTCCATTCGAATTTTAGACTTTTTGTTGCTGTTTTGTAATTTTTTTAGAATATATTTATACAAACAGTATAAACATATAATCCCTAGATAACACACCTGTCACCTCAATTCCTCATTCTGCAATCAGCTTCTCTGCTGACTGACTATTGAAAAGAAAGGACAAAACAAGTGGAAAGTATTTGAGATGTAGTTGTTTGTAAGGTTAGATCAGTGATTCTAATACAGCTTTCCACTCAAACAACGCGTACATGATTAGGCCGAGAAAAGAGTAGGCACATATACTTCACAATATGTTCCTATACAGGAAGCACACATTTATATATAATGAGCATGAATACTTTAAAGTATCCTCATGTTTTATTAAAGAGAAGAAGTATTCTTATAAACCTACAGTATATAAATGGAAACAGAATCTATATATTATGAAAAACACACTATGCTAAAAAAACTTCTGTCTACTTTGGGACAGTCAGCCACTAACTGGCTAAAAGAAGGTTACCTTTAGATACCAATTTCTGGGATATAGGGAGAGCAGGTACACCCTACCACAGTGCCCTACCTGGCCAACCATTTTCCAGGTCAGAGTTCTGTCACCTGTGGAGTGGGGTCAGCGTAGGTGGCCCAGGGTTGCTGTATGGGGGGAACTCTTTACTTAAAGTAATATCTGCACTTTGCTTTGCCTCGTACACAGGGGGTCCTTTATCTTGCCGCACACTAAATGAAATCTGGCAAGTCCATCAGGAACGCCTGAATTTTACACAGTGTGTGGCCTCCCCGCTCGATAAAAGGCGATTATTTCATTGACTTCTGTAAAAATGACATGCCAGAAAATGTTTTTACTATCAGCAGCTGCAACCACTGATCAAAGTATTCTGACAGTGGTGGGGGCCACAGTTAGAATGCAATGGGGCTGATTTACTAAAGATAAATATACTGTGTACTGCAAGTGCAGTTGCTTTAGATCCTCGGGGGAGCTCTGAAATGAGTCGAAGCTCTTCTGATTTCTTTCATCCAATCATGTGCAAGCAAAATCATGTGCAAGCAAAAATGCTATTTTTATTTTCCTTGCATGTTCCCCTCAGATCTAGAGCAAGTGCACTTTCAGTGCATTTGGAGTGCCCTTCCAAGTGCACTTGGGCTGCACTTGCAGTGCGTAGCCTATTTGCCTTTAGTAAATCAACCCCCATGTCACAATTTCACCATCTGCCTCTGTTAGTTTTTTTTTTCTTTTAGCTCACTGACTGAATGAAAAAACTAACCATATATGGCCAGCCTTATTTTAGAAGCATATCATGGAAGGGAGGGCTAGAGTAGGGGCATGAAAAAGGATGAAAAAAGAAAGCATGTATATGCAAATGTGAATGTTAAAAAAAAGGACGAAAAATGGCACAAGAGAGATATATGGCAACAGAGCACAAAAAAGTGCGCGTCTGTGTGTGAAATCTGAAATGACATTTTAAGTAGAGAAATAGTCACATGAGAACATAATCGGGCATCAGTAAGTATTTAGCTATTGCATTGTTATAACAGTAACCTGGGATCTCTTGTTGACAGATGAATTCACGTTCCTCCTTGTTAAAGTGCATCCATTATCACTTGATGCCCCCTCTACACTCCGCGGAGACAAGAATTCATGCCTTGTGTCTGCATCTTCCTCGCTTGACAAATCTTCTGAAATCCCATTACCATCTTGTCTAATTTCACTCTAGCAAGACATTACATGTAAAAAGATCAGACAATTTCATGAATGTACACACCAAACCTAACAAACACACAATTACTATAGTATGGTTTGGAAATTTAGATTATCTTTTGCAAATATGGTTTCGGTACAACTGCAACAGAAACACAAATGTACATAACAAATAGAAAAATCATCAAAAAAGAGAGGAAGAAGCAAGGAACCAATTGGCTCATGTGCTGATGAGAAGCAAGCTGATAGGAGGAGAAAGCAGGGTGACAGAGAAATGAGCTCATCACTGTGATGCTTCTCGTTTCACTGTCCAGTCACAGACTAGGGATGGGTCCAGGGCAATTCGAGTTTAGGGGAAATGTGGTGGGATAAAAGGTGGTGGTGATCAGACTAAGAACATCTACTGACAGAAAAAAATACGGTGGGGAAATCTCTAGATTAAAGCTGAATTTTGCATCAAAAACTGCATTTTTTATTTTATCTTTTAATAGGCTATTAATTTTTCGTAGAAGTTCTGCTTTATTGATCCACTGGTGTTTTCAACGGTGTTAACACCAAATGTCTCCATGGCAGGTCCACTCAGCCACAGAAATGAGTGGAAGCATCACATCAAAGGCCATTTATTTGAAGAATAAGGGCAGAGCAGTAACCTGTGTCTAAAGATACAGCTCACTGGTTTGTGCAAATCAACCCTTGGCATATCTACCAGCTGACAAATGTGTGGCAACCTTGAATTGTTTAGGTTCTCTTTCAAAGGGATAAGATACCTATAGATGACTCAGAAACAAGAAAATAAGGCCTTAAGTGTACACCCATGTGAGGGCCATGTTTTGCCCACATAGGATACACAGTTGTTCCCTGCAGCCATGTGCAGGCAGCCCCATTCATGTCAGTTGGGATGCAGCGGTTGCACAGGAACAGCCACTGCTCCCAATTTCACATCTGTGTGGGTGCTGGTGCATGGCCCTGACATTACTGTGCTTAAAATGGTGCATGATCCTTGTTGGTACATGTTTGAAGTTGGGGGGGAGAGTTGTGACTATCAGTATTATTAGATTTTTTTAAGTAGTCAGAAGCCTCTATAAAACAAATGTTACCTCAAAAAGTAGACTGTGTAAATCAGTGAGCTGATCTGAATGATTCATGGCTGAAGGGTCTCAGTAGCTAGGAAGGTGAAGCATTAGTTGTTCCTGTTCCGACTCCTCCTACTGATCTATTAGTATATTGTTCATCTCACTAACAAGTAGAGATACACTATATTGCCAAAAGTATTGGGACACCTGCCTTTACATGCACATGAACTTTAACGGTATCCCATAGGGTTCAATACTGAGTTGTCCCATCCTTTGCAGCTATAACAGCTTCAACTCTTCTGGGAAGGCTGTCCACAAGGTTTAGGAGTGTGTCTATGAGAATGTTTGATCATTCTTCCAGAAGCACATTTATGAGGTCAGGCACTGATGTCAGATGAGAAGGCCTGGCTCACAGTCTCTGCTCTAATTCATCCCAAAGGTGTTCTATCAGGTTGAGGTCAGGTTTCTGTGCAAGCCAGTTAAGTTCCTCCACCCCAAACTCGCTCATCCATGTCTTTATGGACCTTGCTTTGTGCATTGGTGCGCAGTCATGTTGGAACAGGAAGGGGCCATCCCCAAACTGTTCCCACAAAGTTGGGAAGATGAAATTGTCCAAAATGTCTTGGTATGCTGAGGCCTTAAGAGTTCCCTCCACTGGAACTAAGGGGACAAGCCTAACCCCTGAAAAACAACCCCACACCATAATCCCCCCCCTCCACAAAAAACTTTACACTTGGCACAATTCAGTCACGCAAGTACCATTCTCCTAGCTATCGCCAAACCCAGACATGTCTATCGGATTGCCAGACAGAGAAGCTTGATTAATCATTCCAGATAACACGTCTCCACCGCTCTAGAGTCCAATGGCAGCGTGCTTTAGACCACTGCATCAGATGCTTTGCATTGCACTTGGTGATGTAAGGCTTGGATGCATCTGCTTGGCCATGGAAACCCATTCCATGAAGCTGTCTATGTACTGTTGTTGTGCTAATCTGAAGGCCATACAAAGTTTCGAGTTTCGAGATCTTTAGCTATTGACTCTGCAGACAGTTGGTGACTTCTGCACACTGTGCACTTCAGCATATGCTGACCCCGCTCTGTCATTTTACGTGGCCTACCACTTTGTGGCTGAGTTGCTGTTGTTCCTAGTTTTACCATTTTGCTGTCATACCACTAACAGTTGACCGTGCAATATTTAGTAGCAAGGAAATTTCACAGATGGACTTATTGCACAGGTGGCAACCTATCACGGTACCACGCTTGAATTCACTGAGCTCCTGAGAGCAACCCATTCTTTCAGAAATGTTTGTAGAATTAGTCTGCATGCCTAGATGCTTGATTTTATACATCTGTGGTAATGGAGGTGATTGGAACACCTAAATCCAATAATTTAAAGGGGTGTCCCAATACGTTTGGCAATATAGTGTATATGTAAAAAGACAGGCTAAACTTCATATCTATATACAGTATGTCCCAAGGTTTTGGGCTCCCATCACTTTGCAAAAAGAAAATTTAGTTACCAGCAGGTTCCTGGAGGTGCTTGCCATTGTGCAGAAAAACAAGCTTCCTAAAGATGCAAAGACTACAGGCTCATTTTAAAGGTATGCTGTTATCACATGCTGTCAACAGTTTGGTCAACTTTGATGTTAGTCTTCAGCAGTTTTACAGAGGGCAGAAGAAAAGAAGGTGCAAAAAACTGATTGACCCAACACTGCTCTGAGCCTGTTTGCTAGTAAGAACTCAAATCAAATGGCTAAATACACAGTACATACTGTGTAAGTGAACCAAACTGTTTTGGTTTACAGGTACCCTTCCAGACAGAGAGAATTATATGATGTTAAAACAAAGACAAAATATAGATACTTATGCAAATATACATAAAACGCATTCAGTTGCTTTTTTAATGAACACAAAACTGCATTAAATATTTTTTTTCTCCCTTATGTTCAACCTTTAACATTCAAGTGTAGACAGAAATGTGTATTTCATAATATTCCAGTTATGCATTAATTTAAAATGCTTAAAAATATTTAAAATAGTATCCCTGACTGCCTTTTACTATCCTGTAATTCTCTGCATATCAGTATTTAGAATGGCAGAGGAAGGTCAGCTCTAGAAGACAACTAGGCTTCACTGCATTGCAATTAAATATGGAGCTTCCTGATTGGAAGAGAAATCACAGACATAACCTCATCATTGAACAATTGTTCTTTCACTATACAACCAGTCTAGACCAAGCTGCATTAGTTTGACTACAATGGAGAAAAGTAAATGATGAGGCCCAATGAGGACCTTTCACAGTATTTGGAAGGGGTTTTTGGATTAGGTCACTACACTGATCAGGATTACATATCATGGGCAGATAAGACAGTTCACAGATATGCATCTTCTGTGTATTGAGCTGTTTGCCTACACTTTAAGCATGGTCACTCTCAATGTGAACCTATACATACACTGTAATTATTAGAAGGGCACTAAAAACATATATTGCTTTCCCTACTGAATTACGGCATGGCAAAAGAGCATTTTAGATATTCACAAACTTAAAATTGAACCTTCCTGCCCTTCCCCCTTAAACTGTTGCATAGCGTATATTCCCTTTTTTAAATATTTGTTTCTGACTTTCCTTGGACCTTACTCCTTCTGATCTTGAAACCTTGCTCTGGGATGCTTCCCTAACCAAATCACCTTCTGAATTGTATAAAGCACTCATGCCCTCTGTTCATGTTGGCATGGAGGGTCTCTGCTTCAAATGGCAGGTGTGTGTTCCAGATATCGATGACGAAGATTGGGAAGATATGTGAGAATACCCCTTCTCACAGTTGGTTGCCAGTAGAAACTGATTGATCCAATTCAAAATACTACATAGAATATATCTGATGCCGAAAAGCCTCTATAAAATCTACTCGGGAACTTCTCCTCAATGCTGGAGATGCTCAGAGTAAATCTGCTAATTTCAACGGTGTCCAATGACACGCTGATCACAGGGAAATGCAACTGCCGGTTCTCGGCTGCACTTTCCTCACGCTGTCAGATCGTGAGGAAAGTACTGCCGAGAACCGGCAGTTGTCAGAGCGGGGATCGGCACCGATCATCAGGGAAGTCAGATATTGTTGAGTTATACTGCCATCTGCAGGAGAACTGGACACAAGCGAACCAATAAAAGGAGACAAGCCCAGGATAACCTTTCCTCAACCTAGCATGTCTTGGTTTGTAGCATGCAGTACCAACAGCATGAAAATAAACATAGAGCTGTATAACTCCAAAGTCTCCAAGAAAAGGATTTTTCTAACAGTAAAAAAATCCTTTTTTCTTTCTCATTTATTGAGGGACACAGGAATTCAGTTACTGTTGGTGCATCAAAAACCAGACCAACTGAGGGGTAGGCAACACTAGCAGCCACCAACAGACCCAACAAACAAAACTGAGGACTGCCTACAGCAAAAAAAGTGCCTGAAGGACCAATGCCCTAATTTAGTATGGATGAGGTCAAGACCAGATAGGGAACCCTGCCAACATGAAAAGAGGAAGGACACAGAGAATCAATTTGATATTCAAGACCAAGATAGAAAGGGTCATCACTACAGAGTAATGACTTGACACAGAAGGTGACGCTGAAACCTGGACCAAGCAAGGAGCTGACCAACCAGAACCTATGAAAAACAGGTGTCAACAACAAATTCCCATGTAGGGAGTAAAAGACCCACAACCTGATATAGTCAACATGAAATGGGTCCAAGCCACTTGCAGCAACAGGTTCTGGTAGGAACCTGGGAAAAAAAAAGACCAGCTGTTCTAGGTAGATTGGCCTTAAAGTGATTGTAAACGTACTTAAAAAAAAAATTAACTAGGTTGTCATACTTACCTGCTCTGTGCAATGGCTTTGAATAGAGCAGCTCCAGTCCTCCCTTTCTGGAGTCCTCTGTCCGTTCCTGGCTCCTCCCCCCTGCAGAGTGCAAGGGGCTTGCTATGGGGGCACTCATGCAAGCTCAATCATGAGCTGTCCTCTGCCTCAGGTGGTAGAGAGTAAACGTCCCTGGAACTGTTAGGAAAGCGTGAGCAGGAGTCACCTACAGCAGCAGGACTATCCCCATTATGTCTATTTACAGGCATAATGAGAATACATTGTGTAGAAGTAACTAGGGCCAAGGTGCAAGGCAAGGACTTGCGTGCTCACAAACCCAAGCAGTGACCAAATTATTGTAGGCGTGCAGTAGGAATGGATTGGAGTTCAACAGGGCTATAGTATTTTGCAATGCATAAGAAACAGGGCAAGTGCTGAGGCAATGCCATGGCTCTAGACCTGAAAAAGGCCCCAAGGCTACCTTTTATCAGTACCTAATGTCTAAAAAGCACCATGAGTAAAACCCAGTGCTTGAAGGTCACATTCCAGGTTAGCCATGCAATGCCCATTCCAACAGGGTCTGGGTACAACACCCCAGTCAGGCTGAGGAAAGGCTGATCCAGATTCCACATAAAGAACCACTCAAGTGTCTGAAATTCAATAGAAAAATAATTGTGAAAAAGCAAACAATTGTTATACTTTTCTCAGCAGAGCAGAGACATGCTTGATACAAGACAGGTTATCCTAGGCTTGCCAATACTTTTTTTTGTTTGCCAGTGTCTAATCCTCCTGTAGGCAGAAGTATAACCCCACATTATTTGAATTCCTATGTCCCTCAATGGATGAGAAAAAAATACATACTTTATGAAAAATAGCAAGATGTATATTAGTTTGCACTTCATAGACCGCTATAGAGTAGAACAGGAAGCACAGCAAAGCAAAAAGTAGTCGCAAAACATAACATATAGGGTTTAGGGCCATGAAAAAAGTTGTAAAAGTGGGCTTAATTGGACCACTGTCATTAAAACAAAACTGCCATAGTTAAAAGGTGGTATAAACCACAGCAGAAGACTGCTTGCACACATTCCTATTGGTCAGTAGAGTAACCTATCCTGGTCTTAGGCCAAAAGGTAAGTGGAGACTCTGCTGTTCCTGTGGTGCTTCTCAACATGCTTTGTGGAAATCAAAAACTTTGTATAGGTAGTTACCAGAATCTTTCTTCCAGTTGTTATTACAGGCCTGCACAGTAAGCAGTACGATTCACACATACAGGTATCAGCTCCCCTCCTTCCGACATTTTCACTTAATGGGCCCTGGTTTATCTTGTATGCTTTTCTAGGTAGAATTTTTCTGTTGACCCTAAAAGAAAAAAAAGACATTTGATTACAATAAGTTCTTTATGACCTACTATGAGAATCTGATATCTTTACTATGAAAAATTAATTAATATTAATTAAGTCACAAACTTACCAAGTCAACACAAAAAGATATGTCTCTAGTAAATGAGGGTTTGTATACACAGCAGTTCACTCGTTACAGAAAGTAATGCTTCTACAAGTGTGTCAGTGCCAGGATTAATGATACAGTGCAAAAAAAAAAATCCACTCTGGGAGCATTTCCCTTGAATAATTATCAAGAGTGTCAAGCAGCATGAAGAGGTCTGACTCCATGTAGCTTCTAAGCAGATATCCGCTAAGGTGTCAGAGGTTTAAATGAATAAGTGCCAAAACCACTAATTTTCTACTGATGAGTATTCAGAAATAGTAGTATACACTTGAATAGAACTGTATTCTGCATGTCTCTGACTGGCCTTTAACACTGAGTCATTATCCTACGTGTTCACATACTTTTTCCCTATATTTAGTTAAAAAAGAAAAAGATACAGTGGTCTAAAACTCATAAGTTTTACAGATTCAAATTGTTTCTATTATTATGTGAATGAAGATAATTTTTGGGATTAGGAAGACAGTCTTTTGCCCTGTGTTGCACCCTGTGTAGAATATGTCATTTGGCATCAAAATGGTTACAAGACAACTTTTCTTTAAATTAAGTTGTTTTTAAGTAATTCCATGAGAGCAACCCACTTGGTAAAATACTTATTTGTTGTGATCTTCACTGTGTGGTCCTGCCTGATACAAAATAACCTTTGCAAGGCCACCAAGGGTAAGCACATTTATTGGAATGAATGGGGGTCAGTACTCAGCTCACTCTGATCCCTTCTAGCAGTGACTTTGCAGCCCTCCCGCCTTCCAGTATGTTATTTTGAAATGTAAACACAAAGCAAATGCTCTGCGAAGGAGGGCAGGGTAAGTGGCATTGTTAAGAGAATGACCTTACCAATGTCAATGCTTCTGCTGTGAACACTAAGGATGACTTTTTCCACGGTGCCTGCAGCTGCACAGGTCAGTAAGGGCTGATTTTACAGCTCAACTACGGCTTGTTAAAGTGGCCATAAACCTTTGAAATAAAAAATAAACAAAATATATTTCTTTCAAAGTGTGTACTCACCTCCATAGTACTTAGTGTGGATCCCTTCTGTGCTCTTTTTCCACTGCTATCAGCAGGAAATCCTGGGAGATGGCTCAACCCCCCTTCCCCAGCATACAGCAAGTGATTGACAGCCTCAAATGTGCATGTTTCTTTATGAGGCTGTGTAGATAGGGGGTGTCCTTTCTCTCCAATCAGGTATCAGATTACACTCAGCTCTGTGTGGTATAGTGTGTGACATCCTGTCCCCAACCCCTTCCTGCTGGAAGCTGGAAAATATCATCTAAACTGTCTACTTTTGAAGGCTGTAGAGTAGAGAAGGCTATATGTCCATCTTATGTAGGAGAATTAAATTCATCACTGTCTATTAGTGTTGACCTGGATGTGCAAGTCAAACATAAGTTCGACCACACAGCGAACACAGGAATGATAAGTGCTCTCACAGTGCATTGAGAGCCATGATTAGCCAAAGCAATGCACCTGACCACAAGTCAGGTGCAATGCTTTGACAAATCACAGAACCTTTGCACTGTGAGAGCCATGATTGGCCAAAACCTCAGTGACTTTGGCCAGTCATGGCTCATGGACTAAGTCCATGCCCCACACTATATAAGGCTGCTTACACAGCAGCCTTGTGTAATGTGTTGGTGTTAGTAGAGAAGCTAGTTAGTGGTGTGTTAGGGACAGTGTAGTGTAGTCAGTGACAGTCTAGTGCGGTGTTGAGAAGAGCAGTGTAGTGGTGTCACTGAAGTGTCAGTGTTTTCCACAGCACTTCTGCATTACCACTGTTCGCATTTATTTATTTGCTTGTTTGTTTGTTTTGCAGCATCAGGTTCTGTTGCTGCATCATTACTGTTCTCCCTTCTGTGTCGCAAGTGTTCCTCCGTCTGCGTCATCAGTGGTTTCCTTTTTTTTTGGCACAGCAGCAAAAATATTTTGGGCATAATTCCCCTTTTTCTTTTGGCTTTCTTAAATTTTTTACATTTATTTTATTTTAATTTTGTTTTGCAGCAGCAGCATTGTACCCCCTAAGCGTTCAAGGGGCTACGAAGACTCAGGCGAAAAGATGCCATGCGGTGCTTCAGTTGGTATGTCTAGAGGACAGGAGCCACACCAGGGTTGAGATTCTTTTAGCTCTGCAGGGGGAAGGCTCAGAGGTGGTTGACATCATTGCAGCTTGGGCCAGGAATGGTTGTATGAGACAATGGACCAAACCGAAGGGACACTTGACACATGTTCCATGCTTGGCACACATCCTGAATTTGCAGCGTTTCTTGAACAGGTACCCTGGTTTACAAGATCTTCTGAGGCAGCCCAGAAAAGTCTATGGCCATTTCCGGCAGTCATACACAGCCAGTGTTTGGCTGGCTGAAATTCAACGGGAATTCAACCTGCTCACCAATTGGCCTAATTTGTGACATGACAAGTGGAACTCAATATTGTCAATACTGTAGCAGCTGCACACAAAGCAGTGGGCCATTAATGAGTACCTGTGTGAGTATGGCACAAGGACAGGCTCAGGGGAGGGGAATCATGGACAGGGCACTTGAAACAGAACAGCGGGAGGAAGAGGAGGAGGACTTACTTCCTCTCAAGGCCAACTTTATGCAGATACCATTCCTGCAGGGACAGAACAGGAGGAGAAGGATTGTGGCAACATGGAATTAGAGGAGAACATATGGCAGTCTTCAAGGGATGGCCTTCAGTCCCCAGAAACCCAGCCAGCAGTAGTACATTGCTGGGAGGAGGTAGATCCTGACAGTGTCATCCTCAGTGACCCAGAGGACTCAGAATCTTAAACGTACATGCATGGACTCCCTGATTCTGCAAAGCCTGCAATTTGTGGTATCAAGGAAAGGGATCATTACTGGTTGGCAACCCCTCTTCGTCCACGTTACAAGAGTAAAGTTGCACAGATCATCCTGCCTTCGCAGAAGGAGCAGAGGATGAGCCATCTTAAGGACGCCTTGAAGAAAAATTTGTCTAACACCTTTCTAGTCACAGGAAGGTTAGCATTTCCTGGACAACATGTTTCTGAGGCTTCGTTTGGTCAAAAGCGGTAGAGAAGGCGGCCGGCTGACCGATGCCTTTAAACAATTCTTTAGTCCTCAGCACACAGGGCTGTTAGGTTTAAGCATCCATCGGTAATATCTGCATCATATGGTACAGGAATTATCTAGGGACAAGAGCAGACTTGGAGACCTTTCCAACTGAGGATCACTGGGTTACAGGGTCTTGAGGATGGATCACTTGCCAAAACTTACTCAATATGCAATCGAGTTACTGGCCTGTCCTGCATCCAGTGTGCTTTCCAAATGGACATTTAGTGCTGCTAGAAGTTTTGTGATGGATAAAATAGAGCGTGTCTGTCCACAGACTCCGTTGACTGGCTGACATTTATCAAAATGAATCTGTCCTGGATTAACAGCAGCTATCAAGCCCCTGATGATGATGTAACTGATTAAATTTATTTTCTAATGTTTAATGATTTTTAACAGCAGGGCCCATTCCTGTGCTCAGCAAGAAAAGGGCTAATTTTTCTGCATCTTTTTTGACAGGTGTATCTAATTTAATTTCTTCACAATTTTTTCTATTTTAACAATTTTGTAACAACAGGGCCCATTCCTGCTCCCAGCAAGAGTAACTGTGAAGGGTTCAGTGTTCAGGCAACACCAACATCTAAGGCCCAATTTTTCTGCTCCTGTTTGACAGGTGTATGTAATTTAATTTTTTTTTAAATTCTTAACAATTTTTAACAGCAGGGCATTCCTGCGTTGACCAAGAGTAACTGTGAGGGGTTAAAGTGTTCAGGCACCACCAACACCCAAGGCCCAATTTTTCTGCACCTGTTTGACAGGTGCATCTAATTTAAATTGTTTACAATATTTTTCAAATTGTTTACAATTTTGTAACAGCAGGTCCCATTCCTGTGCTCACTAAGAGTAACTGTGAGGGGTTAAGTGTTCAGGCACCACTAACACTTAAGGCCCAATTTTTCCGCACCTGTGTGACAGGTGCATATCATTTCAGTTTTTTTAGAGCAGCACCAATTCCTGCACTCATCAAGAGTAACTGTAAGGGGTTACAGTTTAAAGGCATCAACACCCAAGATCCATTTTTTCAACACCCTGTGTGACAGGTGCATATAATTTAAATTGTTAGAGCAGGGTCCAATTTGCACTGGTCAAAATAACTCTGAAGGGTTACGGTGTGAAGGCAACACCAACTGTTCACTGTCAAACACGCCACAATGCACTGCGCTCTCACAGTGCAGTCCCCACCCCACATATTATTATTATTTATTTATTTCTCAGCGAAAAAAAAAAAATTATAAAAAAAAAATTAAGATTAAAAAATAAAAATAAAACAAAAAATACATACCCCCCCCCCTTAATCTAGGTCTTGTAGGGAGGTTAGGAGTGACCCCACAGTAATTAATTTTTTTTTTAAGTGTGTTGGATTTCCTCTAAAAGCCATACCAGGCCCTTTAGGCCTGGTTGGACTTTTAAGGGTAACCCCGCCTCCCAAAAATGGGGGAAAAGTGTTGGGGTTCCCCCTAAAAGCCATACCAGGCCCTTTAGGCCTGGTAGTACTTTTAAGGGGAAAAAAATGGGGTGGAGTGTGGGGTCCCCCCCTAAATTCCCACCAGACCCTTGATCCAAGCACAGGAAAGGAGGAAAACGATCTCTCCCCCCCCCTTCCGTGGCTTACCAGGCCATGTGGATGGGTTGGCAGCCGTTGGGTTTTTAGTATTTTGGCGAGTTGGCCTCATCGTGACAAAGCTGGACACTGACTGACGATGGATTACATCAATGGGACCATTTTTGGACTTTTTTTTAATAAATAAAGGAATTCTCAAAAACTTTTGTTTT